CCGTCCCTGCCTCCCTCCCTGCGGCGGTGGCCAGGGGCCGGGCTCCTCCCAGTGGGCGCTGCCGCAGGACTGGGGCAGGAGGCTGCCTGCTCCTTGGCCCCTCCACCCCAGGCACAGTCTGAGCGCCTGCTGTATGCAGAGCTGGGCCCCATCAGGTGGGGCTGGGGAGGGGCAGGGAACCCAGCTCCAATGAGAGCCGGGCTACTCTCAGCGGGGCGGGCACCAGAAGGCCCTTGGGAAGGCGAGGAGGAGGGCAAGAGGCCTGGGGGCAGCCAGCCCAGGGGACCATGCGGTGGTGCCCAGGACTGAGGGGAAGACTGTGCTGGCCGCACGACCTCTCTGAGTGTGGTTGCTGTGCCCCGCTCCCGGGAGGAGGGCCACACACCTGCAGGTGCCCCGTGCGCTGCCCAGCTTGGGAGTGTCAGTTTGTGGGTTTAGTTGGAGGATTAAATTGATTTTCCAGCTTTTCCTGGGGAGAGACAGACACGCTGAGCTGCCGCTGGCCTCTGGCAGATGGCAGCCCAAGGCCAGCTTGCTTCCGCAGTAGGACAAGACCCACCCTTACCACCACACAGCCACAGGGCCGCTGCCCAGCCTTGAAGCCACTCCCTCTTTGTGTGATGCCTCAGTGTCCTTTGCAGGCTTGGGGTGTATGGCCAAAGGCAGGGGCGCACCTTTGCACCATGGGGAAACTGAGGCACAGGAGGTGGGTTCTGTGCCCCAGCAGCCACCAGGCCAGGCTGACAGAAGCCCACAAGCACTTTGTGTCCTCTCCCAACTCTGGGGTGGCACTGTCTGTCTGCCCGTCCTGGGCTCGAGGGTACCAGTGAGTGTAGGGCCATGCACACAGTGGCCACATGCCGCTGGCCTCCTGTCCATCCATTTGTGTCCAATGAGTGCCTGCTAGGGACAGGGTGGGGAATAGATCCTCAAGGCCAGGCTCAGATCCCCTCCAGGACCTTGGGAGGAGCCATGGGGGTGCCCCCTAGGGAGGAGCCCTGGGGGAGCTGTGGTGGGCTCTGTCCCTCCCTGGCCAGATTGGGAGGCCTAGTCTGGGTGCAGGTGGGTGCCAACAGCTAGTCCTCAACAGTTGTCAGTCCTGATCTCCTGGCCCAGGCTTGGGGGAGCCTGGGCTGCTGGGGTGTGGACCGTGGCCGAGCTGGGTGTCATGTCCTTGGCTGCCCTGCGGGTACCCAAGGCAGCCAATGCTAGGCGCCGGACCGGGATGGTAAGCTCTAGGCCTTGCCCCCACCATGCTCTTGGCTGTTCTAGAGGTGGTGAGGAGTGGGCTGGGGTGAGGTGGAACCCATGCTCAGAAAGGTCCAGCCATCAGCACTGAGCCTGTCTCGGGGACAGTGACCCGGCTGTGTCCTCTGGCCATGCTCGTCTCCATGTGGCACGGCTGCCCAGGGCTGGGCACTCCCCTGTGACATCTGTCTGGGGTGTTGGCTCACGTGGCTGTGGCCACCAGCCTGTATCAGCCTGTCTCTGGTATCAGAGTGGGAGGGGGTCACCTTGGTCCCCAGGGCTGTGGAGGGGCCTTCCTGGCTGAGTCCTGCCTGGGGCGGATTAGCTGGGCCTCGTCAGCAGAGGATTATGGCCTGGGGCTGCCGAGGAGGGGTCAGAGGGTCGAGGGCAGGGCCTCTACCTGTGCCCCACTCCCAGGGCCTGGCCAGGCACCCCCACCACCACCAGCTGAATAGTGAAAGGCAGGAAGTGGGCAGGGGTGGCTGTCTCGGGGGCTTTGTGGGGGCGAGGCAGGAGCACCCCACCCTAAGGGCAGCGGGGAACTGAGACTTCCTGACCCATTTTCCATGGCTCAGAGCAGGATGTGAGTGGCCGAGCTTCCTGAAGGGACATTTGATGCCCTGAGGGCTGGTGAGGGGGCCACAGCATCTGACCCAGCCTTGGGGACACCAGCGGCTGCAGTGTCCCCTGGTACTTGGACCTGTGTCCCAGCCTGGCTTCCTGGGGCCTCTGGGGTCCTCACACAGGGCTTCCAGGACTGCGGCCCCTTCCGTTCCAGAGCAGAATGCATTCCTAATGCGATTGGGGTGGAGGGCAGGCTGCCTGCCGACCTCCAGCCAGAAAATGAGGCAGGGCCTCTGGCCAGGGTCCCTAATTGGGTTCTGGGTTTGGCTTTGAGGTGATTACATCCGATCCAGCCGGGTGGGTCCTGGTTCTCTGTGGTCAAGTTTTCTGTTGCCAGGGATACAGGGATGGCAGGCCTGGGACGACAGATGTCCTTGTCCTGTCTGGGACCAGACATCCTCATCCCAGTTTTGCCTGGCTGGGTGTGTGTGGCCAGTAGCAGGGCCTGGGCAACGAAGTGGTGGGGGTGGAACTCCAGTGTCTTTTCCTCCCACCCAGGGCAGCCCAGCGACCGCCCACAGCTGCTGCAGTCTGCCTGGGGGTCTGGGCCCCTTGCTGGTAGAGGTGGGCTCTTCCCTAGGCAGTCACCTCCCCAAGCTGGTGGCCATCAGGAGGGATAGCTGCCTGCATGCCAACTCCAGGGCACAGTGCAGCTACAGATGTGCCCAGGGTGATGGCTGCCTCCAGGGCTCTGGCCCCGAGTGGTGGAGCCACACAGCCCTGGGCCTGGAGGGAGGTAGAAGACATGGGGCTCAGGCTCAGGGGCCCCACCATCCTGCCTGTGCCAGAGGTCACAGGGAACGGGGTCCTTCGTACCCTACTGGACAAGTGCCCTGTGCTGAGGGCTGCAGCGGAGGAAGGCCCGGCCTGGGGGCGCATGTTGCTGCTTCTACTCCACCTTCAGGCCCTCTTGCTTCTCTAAGATGGCAGGGAGCCACTCAGAGGTCCCTGGAAATGTGAGGGATTGAGTAGGGGGCAGGAGCTTGGTGTAGGACACAGAGGGACAGCACCCAGGGTGGGCAGTGTGTGGGGTGGGCTCTAATGCCCCACCACCAGAGTGACGCGTGGGGCCTGTCCCCACAGCCTTGCAGCTGCATCCCTGGGTCCTGGGAGGTCCCCTGTCTGCCCTGCTGGGTGTGGATCTGGTGGCCTGGGCCTTCCTGGGGTGACTGGCTGCTCTCCTGGCAGCTGGGCGTTCCTCTGGCCTAAATCCTCTGGGCAGCTGAGCTGGAGCCAACAGGCAGGATTAGTGCCTGGATTGGTGAGGGTGGGCAGGGCGAGGCCAGCGGCCCCACCCCCACGCAGCTCCTCCTGTGCTGCAAGGACCCTGAGGCTGTTGGTTTGGGGCTGCAGGTGGCGGTCAGGCCAATGCCAGCAGGTCCTAGGGGCAGCCCAAGGGGAGCCTTGGAGGGCTCTGAGGGGGAGGAGGGCGAGGCAGAGGACAGCAGGGGAACCCCAGGAGCCCCTGCACCAAGCACCATCACTGCCGTCCCTGCCACCGAGGGCCCTCTGTGAGCCGGCGCTTGGCCTTCATTCAGGGATGCCTGGCCCTCAGCCGTCCGCCCCCAGCTGGGGCACAGGAGCAGTGGCCTGCCTGGCCGAGGTGCTGCTCTGGGTTGGAGGGAGTGTGGTGGTGTCGCCGCGGTGGCAGCTCAGCCCACTAGGTAAGGGGGGCAGGGACGCACAAGGCCTGGCTGAGGCCAGCCGGACCCCACAGGGTGGGGGGCCATCCGTGCCCTCACCCTCCCTCCCACAGCAGCTGCTCCCCTGGGTTTCCCTGTGTGGGTCACCAGGGCTCAGCAGTGTTGGCTGCTGCACCCCTCAGCCACTCAGAAGCCCCCCAAGTCTCCCAACCCCTGGAGTAGGGCCTGGAGCTAAAGCCCAGCAGACCAGGCCGAGGGTGGATATGAGAGGGGTCAGGGCGTGCTGGGCGGGGGCAGAGCTGACGCGGTGGCCCTGGCAGTGGCAGGTGGCCCTGTGTGCCTCTCTGAGAGGGGAGAGGGGGCCCACACACCATGGGGGGTTCTGAAGGTGCCCAGGCCGCAGAGGCTGCTCAGGCCTCTCTGCGCTAGTCCTGGCTCTGGCTGGCAGAGAGGCCTTCTGCAGCTGCCTCCTCTGCGCTCCCTGCCCCAGGCCCTGAGGACCTGCCTCTGCCCTCCCGCCCCCGCTGCCTGGCCCCCACACCTGTGTCCTCACCTGCCACATCCCCTGGGGAGTCGGCCTCCCTGTCCCCGCCCCGTCCTGGATCTGCAGCTCCCTCTGCTCATGTAGTAGCTGCCTCTTCCAAGAAGCCCCTGGGCTGGCACTGCCCATGGCCCCTGCATTGCCCACCCAGGGGCCCCACTGTATGGACCTCATGGGTTGGATTTCTCTGAGCTTTGGCACGAGATTTCCTGGGTCCCGGGTTTCCTAAAAAGAGGTGTATGGGCCTGAGTGGGATGTGACCTGTCCCTGGGCTGGGACCAGCTGACTCTGGTCAAACACACTGCACCCCTTCCCTAGGACCTGGGACAGGAGGCCGAGAGGATGGAGGGGGCAGTGTCTCAGGGGAGGGGCAGGTGTGCACTCCAGCCTGGTGCCTCAGCTCCCGACTCCGGGCCCTCCACCATGACAGCTTGCTGGTGGAAGCACCTGGGAGCAGATGCTTGCACAGCTAGCAGTGCCACATGGGGGACAGCCACTTTCCCGGGGAAGTGGAGGGGAGGTGTGGATGCTTCGAGCCGTTCACACTGGGGCAGCAGCCAGGCCAAGCGTTGGACTGGCACTGCCTGGGCCCTGCCCTATGCCCTGCACAGTGGCCTCTGCTCTGTGGCTCCCACAAGCCGCTGGGCCACTGCTTCATCCTGGGCAGTGGGCGTCCAGTGCTTGGGAAGTTCGGGTGACCGTCCCCTTGGGGCCAGGGGTGGAATGACAATGGGCCCCAGCTGAGCGGCCAGCAGCACGGCCCCTGGGACCTCAAGTGGTCTCAGTCCCCACAGCCAGTGGGGCAGGGGTGGCAAGTGACCCTGGGTGTCTAACCCCCAGCCTCAGCGGGCAGGTCGGTAGGGGTGGCTTTTGTGCCCCTTGGGCACACTCAGTCCAGCCCGCTCACAGCCCCACCTGTCCTGTGTCACCTTCCCCGTGTCCAGTGGAGCGGTGCATGAGTGCCATGCAGGAAGGGACGCAGATGGTGAAGCTCCGAGGCAGCTCCAAGGGCCTGGTCCGCTTCTACTACCTGGATGAGCACCGCTCCTGCCTGCGCTGGAGGCCCTCGCGCAAGAACGAGAAGGCCAAGAGTGAGCGGCTGTCCGGGCCCCCCGGGGCACTCTGGGTGGTGGAGTGGGAGGGGCCGGCCCTGCCCAGCTGCCCACCTGGCAGCACCCTGGGCCTGGATGGCTCTGGGCCAGATGGTGGGGTGGAGGGGATAAGAACCTCCAGAGAAAGAGACCCCAGCTGGGCACACTGGGACAGGACCTGGTGTGCCAGGCAGGGCCCCAGCCCAGCAGTTGCTGAGGGCACCATCACAGGCCCCAGGAGAGAGCCATACTGCAGCGCCCAGCAGGCCCCAGGAGAAGGGCCCCGTGGCAGGTGCGCTGGACGGGTGGGGCATAGCTCGCTGCCTGGCGTTGGCTCTCTTGTCTCGTCTGGCTGCCTCAGGGTGACCATGCTGGGCTGGGGCAGCCAGAGGAGCCCAGTGGCCAGTCGGGGCCTCTGCTCTGTCGGAGACCCCATGGGAACTCTGCCACAGAGCTGGTGTTCCACTGGCCATATGGCCACTCCCTAGCGTGCTGAGCCTTGCAAGACACGGAGATCCAGAAGGGCGCCGGGCAGAACGCCAGGCCGACCAGGGTCCTGACACCCACCTGAGACCCAGTTTGGTGCCAGGAGCCCTCCCAGCCTTGGGGGAGTCCTGTGGGCAACAATAGCACGGGGCAGCCGTTGTCCAGGTCTGGGGGCCGTGTCACCCACTGCCGCACGTGCCGGGGAGCCAGAGCAAGCCTGGGTGGCTGGGTGGCTGGGACGCTGGGGTCCTGGCTGGGGTCTGGGCTGAGCTCGGAGAAGATACTGGCTGCCCATGGCCTGCACACTGGGGAGTGGTCACGGAAACACGATCAAAGTGCCTCAGGCTCATCTACTTGTGGACTTAGCTTTCAAGGGGAGGCTCTGTGGAGCCCCAACTCCGCGGCTCCTGAGTGGAGGGGTCAGCTGCCCCACCACACCACGGCTCCCATGTCCACTGTGCCAGGCTCACCCCAAAGGTGACTGTGGGGTCTCCTCATCCCTGGGCGGCCACTGCCTCTGATGGACTGGAGATGTGTGGCCGGAGCCTGGTGGTGGAAGTGGCTGTCCGGCTGCCTCGCTGCACGGCTCCAGGCACATGAGGCCCAAGCCTGCTGCAGGCAGGCCATCCTCCTCCCTCTTGGAGTGCACAGGACCTGGAGGGGGCTACGGGGCCGGAGCAGCCAGGGGAGGGGTCTTCACTTGCTCGATGCTGTGTGGGGCTCAGAGGGCATCTGCTGTGAGCACACAGCTCCAGGCCACTCTGACCATGCCCTGGGACTCTGCGCTGGCTGCCTGTGGGGATGCCCAGCCACCAGAGACTGACCCCCTCCCCTCCCGCCGCCTGCAGTCTCCATCGACTCCATCCAGGAGGTGAGTGAGGGGCGACAGTCGGAGATCTTCCAGCGCTACCCCGACGGCAGCTTCGACCCCAACTGTTGCTTCAGCATCTACCATGGCAGCCACCGCGAGTCGCTGGACTTGGTCTCGCCCAGCGGGGACGAGGCGCGGACCTGGGTCACCGGCCTGCGCTACCTCATGGCCGGCATCAGCGACGAGGACAGCCTGGCCCGCCGCCAGCGCACCAGGGACCAATATCCTTGGGCGTCAGGGGTGGAGACAGGCCCGGGGCGGGGAACACCGACCTCCTGCAGCCTTGACCTGGGGAAGGATGGGTGGGTGGCTGAGGCTCGGGCGGGCCATGCTGCATGTTGGCCCCTAACTCAGCCCCGAAGTGGCTGAAGCAGACGTTCGACGAGGCCGACAAGAACGGGGACGGCAGCCTGAGCATCGGCGAGGTCCTGCAGCTGCTGCACAAGCTGAACGTGAACCTGCCCCGGCAGCGCGTGAAGCAAATGTTCAGAGTGAGCTCGGGAGCCCGCGGAGCGCAGCGGGGTGGGGAGGGCGGTCCACAGCAGGCAAAGGAGATGGCGCTTGGCCAGTGGGGCTGAGCCCATGCGAGGTGGGCGGCAGGGAGCCGGGTGCTGCCTCTGAGCAGCTGGGCCAGGGACCATGCTGGCTCCAGAGCAGGGGCTGAGCACCGGGCACAGGGTCTGCCTGGCGGATGGACAGGGCCTGGGAAAGGCAGCCCCGTTCCCTGACCCCCAACCCCACACTCTTAGCAAGGTTCCCCATGCCCAGTGGGGTGTGGCTGGCAGTGGCTTTCGTCAGCAACCCTGGTGTTAGAAGTTATGAAAATGTCCTCCAGCCGCACTGCAGCCTTCACTGTCTGTAATTAGCTCTCTCTTTCCAGCGCCACTGTGGGGGGAGCAGGGCTGCCGTCAGCAGGGTGCGCTCTGGGGCAGGAATGGGCTGAGCCAGCAATCCCGGCCCTCGGGCCTCCTTGCCTATTGTAGCCTGGCAGGGATTTTGTGAGCACAGCCCAGGCCAGCCGCTGACACAGGCATGCACAAGCACACACACTCACACACAGGCATACAACCTCCTGGCCCGACATGCCTGCTGTCTCTGGCTTGACAGCTCCCCCCAGCATGGTCATGCTGAACAGCCGTCATGCCTGGCTGGAGAGAGGGCAGCTGGCTGCACATCCTGGGTCTGGAATGAGGTGGAGCACGGGTGCCTCGTGGGCCCCTCCCGAGGTCCCTGGTGGGGACAGTACCTGGGCACAGTGGGGGCAGACAGCTGGTGTCTGATGTCAGACTCCTTCCCCTGCCTTTCTGGGGCTGCCTGTCCCTACCATTCTGCACCTGCAGGGGCAGCTCTGGGCTCGGCAGGCCCTTCCTTAGGGTGAGGCAGCTGCAGGGACCAGGGAGGAGGTGACCAAGGACGCAGGGCTGGAGCAGCCTTGGCGGTAGAGGACGAACACCTGGGAGGTCAGAGTGTGAGCTGCAGCTGCAGCTCCAGGGCTCAGCTTGGAGCTCTGTGATGGTGCTCTCACCTGCTCCGACAGGTCTCTGGGGTCCTGCTGTGTGGCCCAGGCCTGGTGTGATGGGCCTCCAGCCAGCTCTGGTCTCCTTGATAATTGGCATCTATTGGACTGTAGCGGAATCTCAATACTGCTTGTGGCAGCCTGGAACTCCTAATCAGAGCGCAGAGCTGTGTCGCAGATGGAGTGGCTTTCACATAATTGTATCAAATCCAAGATAACACGGAACGTGGGGCTGGCCAGCACCCTCGCCTCAGGCCTGACGAGCCCGGAGCACCCGCAAGCCCAAGGGCTGGCTTGGCAGAGGGCACAGGGGAGGTGGCGTCGGGTTGCTATGTGCTGAGGGCAGGAGCGTGGCTGGGGCTGCTCAGACCCCTGTGTTCCCTGTCTTCGCGGCACTTTCCCTCCAGCTGAGAGCAGGCAGGGACCTGGCTCTGGGCTCCTGGCCCTGCTGCCCAGAGGAAGGGTGTTGTGTCTGGAGAGAGAGACAACCTTGTCACCAGCGTGCCCTCTGACCTGCAGTGTGCACTGGCTCAGTTGTCCCAGGAGAGTGCTCAGCTCCTGGACCCGAGGCCATCCTCCAGTCTCACGTCAGACACACTGGGATCCTGGCTGGTGTCGGCTAAGCCCTGGGCACGTGGCTCTGGGCCACCCCAGCCATCGTTTGGGTACAAGGCGTGCCCACCTCCAGGCCAGGCCTCCACCCTGAGACCCCTTGGATGAGGGCAGCATGGCCGCCCGTGTCCTGGTGATCCTGTGGCAGCATCCTGTGGACACTGCGGACCATGTGGCTCCTTGGGGAGGGGCTGCTGCGTGACGAGCGCATCCAGCAAGTCCCATGTTCTCTGGCACTCGCCTGCGTCCGTCCCTCTTGGCTGTGGCAGCTCTGGGCTGTCCTGCTTCCCAGCCTGGAGCTGGGCTCCCCCGGCCTCCCTGGGAGGTCCTGGGGTGGTGGCCGAGAGCCTATCGAGGACCCCGGGTTCTTCTCTGGGACATTGTCCACCTCACTGGCGTGGAATCTGCAGCTGCTATGGACTGAAGACTTGGGCAGTGTCTGTAGACAAGGCTTGGGGGGACAGCACGGGGGATGGGCCTACCCGCACGTGGTCAGCAGAGGTAAAGACCAAGGTGGGAGGCTGAGCTCCCCACAGCCACGGCAGGGTCTGCAGCAGCTCTGCCTAGGCCCTGAGCCCCAGGCAGCTGTGTGTCCAGTGGTCAGGGCTTCCGGCCCATGCCCTGAGCGGTGCCTTTCTGCAAAGAGCAGGGACCCTGCTAGCCAAGCTGTGCCATCAGTGCTGTGCCGAGGGTCGGGGTGGTGTCGGCATGGGATGGGGTGTTGTTGGCTCTGGTGGGGGCGACGGTGGTCTGTGCCTTGCAGAGTAGGGGTGGCTGGGTCACACTGTGCTGCCCAGGGTTGCCTGGTGACTGGATAGAAGAGGCAGGCAGCTTCATGTGCCTACCAGCGTCTGCGGCAGTGGCATGGGCAGTGCTGGAGGAGGGGGCTGGCTGGTGGTGGGCTGGACAAAGGACCCGATGGTGACCAGAGGCCTCATATGGCAGGAGGCAGACACGGATGACCACCAGGGGACGCTGGGCTTCGAGGAGTTCTGTGCCTTCTACAAGATGATGTCCACGCGCCGGGACCTCTACCTGCTGCTGCTCACCTATAGCAACCACAAGGACCATCTGGACCCTGCCGACCTGCAGCGTTTCCTGGAGGTGGAGCAGAAGGTGCAGCCAGAGGGCAGCTCAGGGCGTGGGACCGGTCATGGTGGGCAGTGGAGGCTCCAAGTTGGCTTCTGTTCCCACTGCCTTGGCGTGTGCTGCGGGGGCTGCCGGGCGGGCGGGGAGGCCAGTGTTTCTCTCTGAAGGGCTCTGGGTGGCTCTGTCCTGGTTGAGGACACCTGGAGTATCTAGAGGTGCCCAGGCTCTGCTGTGGTACCAGCCTACAGGGTAGGAACCTTGTGGGCTGGGGCTCTGTGGCCCAGGGTTTGAGAGCTGCCCCTAACCCTCCCCGTCAACTGTGTTCTGGCCACATGGCTGGTCAGCTCCAGGGATAGCGGGCCATACTCATCTGACTGCCCAGCCTGCACCCTGATTCCCCCGGTGCTGTCCCAGGAAGTCTGCCGACCCTTGGAGGCCACGCTGAGGACAAGCACTCCCTGGGCATTGCCCTGCTGACCAGGCATCTGGTGTCCTGCACTGCAGCATGGTCCTGCCTTCCTGATGAGGGTGGGCTGTGGGCCTGACACCTGCCTGGGACTTCCTGGGGCCCTGCTCTGCCCAGCCTCTCATTCGGAGTCGGCCACGTATGAAGGCTGTGTCATCACCACAGTGGGTGGCGCTGGGCAGGGCACAGCAGGAGGGCAACATGGAGATCCTCACGGGGCTGCCCGAGCCAGGCCTGAGGGGCCGCCCCTCCCTAGGGGCTGTGTGGCAGGTCCCTCTCCTGTCCTGGAGGTGTTCCAGGCGAGGGGGCCAGGCACCCTCATGACTGAGTCCCGCTGCCCATGTGGCACTGGGCTAGGGCCAGGGGACGTGACCCTGGCAGCAGGTGCGCTGTCCTGGCACTGGTGTGGGAGGCAGGGCTCGGCTGGGGCTGGATGAAGACAGGCAGATCTGACCCTTTCCCCCTGGCCGTTGTCGCCAGCTCTTGCACCCTCTCCCTGCAGTGGCCCGAACCTGGGTCCAGCCACCTGGACTCTGGGACCCCTGGGTCATAGCTGGCGCTGGGTTCTGACTCATTTGTCCACTGCCCCGCCCATCCTGTCGCCTCCCACCCTCCCAGATTGACCTGCTGGCTCTGCTGCCGGGCTGGCGCAGGCTCTAGGGGGCGTGTGGCTTCATCACTCAGGTGGGGTTTGGCTGCAGGGCTCAGTTCTCCCAGGCATCACCCAGCAGGGACTTTGTGTCAGCGGGAGGCTCCTGTGCCCGCCGGCTCCTTGGGGTGGGACGTGCAGCCTCTGCTTGCTCAGAGCCCTGGGCACAGCTGTGGGATGGTCCACACCACACAGGGTGCCCAGCTGGTGAGGCCAGAGACCCCACCCCTGCCGGAAGAATCCCAGGCTAGGTGACGCGGGGTTGTCTGTGCTGCTGGCCTCAAATGTCACCCTGCCGTAGTCAGCCTGATGTGGCGATGTGACACAGGGGCAGCAGGCGGCGGGTGGCAGAATGGGGGAGCTGTGTAAGGGTGGCCCACGCCGGGCCTGGGCCAGCCCGAGCTCACGCCCCTGACCCGCCCAGATGCAGGGTGTCACCCTGGAGTGCTGCCGCGACATCATCCAGCAGTTCGAGCCCTGCCCGGAAAACAAGAGCAAGGGCGTACTGGGCATCGATGGTGAGCAGGCCAGGCCGGCCGGGTGGGCAGCCTGCAGGCGGGACAGGTGGCTCTGAGCCCCAGGCGGGGCTGACGCCCGGACCCACGCTGCGCTATAGGCTTCACCAACTACACGCGGAGCCCTGCGGGTGACATCTTCAACCCCGAGCACCACGGTGTGCACCAGGACATGACGCAGCCCCTGAGCCACTACTTCATCACCTCGTCCCACAACACCTACCTCGTAGGAGACCAGCTCACGTCGCAGTCGAGGGCAGACATGTACGCCTGGGTCCTGCAGGCCGGCTGCCGCTGCGTAGAGGGTGAGCAGCCCCAGGGAAGCCTCCTCCGTGTGTGTCGCTGGAGGAGAGCAGGGCCGGCTGCAGCTGGCATCCACGGCCCAGGTGGCCGAGCCCCTGGCTGACTGGGTCTGTGCCCACAGTGGACTGCTGGGACGGGCCTGATGGGGAGCCCATCGTCCACCACGGCTACACGCTGACCTCCAAGATCCTCTTCAAAGATGTCATCGAGACCATCAACAAATATGCCTTCCTGAAGAACGAGTGAGTGGCTGGGCCAGGGGCTTGGCTCCAGGCTGGACAGGGTTCCCCCACATCCTGTGTCCTTTCTGGGAGGCAGTGGCCACGGTGGACAAGGAGTGGGCTTTCTTTCAGGATTTCCTTTGGGGAGCAGTTCAGAGAGGGATGGGGCCACGGGGCCAGGAGCGGGGAGGCGGTGTGTGCAGGAATGGACATGGCACACTGGCTGAGACCGCACAGGGCACACGCATACACGTCCTGGTCTCACAGGTGGTGGCAGCTCTGGTGGCAGCCCCCAGGGCATGGCAGCCCCGGAGCTAATTGGCCCCGAGAAGCCACTCTGTCCAGACTCAATGTGCTGTCACTTGGCTGTAGTTGCAGATACCGTTGAGGAAAATCCAATTTAGTTTCTGGAAATAGAAGGCCGCCTCCTTGCTGCTAGCTTTACCTCGAGTCCTGGCTAAACGGGGCTCACAGGCAAGAGAGGCGCTACGTGAGCGATTGATTTAGTAAATGGAAGGGGGCCTCTCCCGGGGAGAGCTGGCCCGTGTCCCGCGTCTGGCTGTGTGTGCTGCGGGTAGAGCAGCGAGGCCCCTGTGGACAGCCAGGCCCTGGGCTGCAGGGTGGTGGAGGATGCTGGACCCCCTCGTGCCCGGGGGTTGCTGAGGAGCGGAGGCCCGGGGGGCCCTGGGAACCAGGTTTGGCCTTGCCTGTCAGTGGGATCTTCCCCCCAGCCCTGGGAAGCTGGGAGGCTGGGAAGTGGGGTGCTGTCACCTTCTCCCCGTCCTCACCTCCCTCTCCACCTCACACAATTGCCCGTCTCTGCTCTGGTTCGTACCCCCTTGGTTTGGCTCACCCACATTTGTAAAAGGATCAAGGCCGCCTTTTGGTAAAAGTCCAAGCAGAATGTGCATATGGTTAGAGATAGAGCTGAAGCGCTTATGCTGGCACTGGCCGTGCTCCCGGTTCCCACCGCGCCGCCACCACCCTTCCCCTCAGATGGTGCCGCCGGGCTGTGTCTCCCCTGGGCGGCTGGTGCGGGGACCCAGGCCCAGGCTCCGGGATCTGGGTCGCAGGGATTACGATCTCAGTCTGCCTACTGCCGCTTTTCAACTGAAACCGTTCCCGTTGCTTCTCCTGGGTTTTCTAATTGCCTTCTTTTAAAACTGGGGAAGGTGCGGGTGCCTCCTTTCCTCATCCTTGAGTTGTCCCAGCTCCTTTCCTACCCCACCTTGCTCTGCGGGGCCTCTGGGGGCCCCCTTTCAGAGCTGTGTGGAGCTGTCTGTCCTGGGTATGGTGAAGTCCCCTCCTCGTGCAGCGGCAAGGTGACCCCTGCCCCTGCGCCTGACCCTGCCTGTCCTCTCGGCTTGGGGGCCGCAGGTACCCTGTGATCCTGTCCATCGAGAACCACTGTTGCGTTGTCCAGCAGAAGAAGATGGCGCAGTACCTGACTGACATCCTCGGGGACAAGCTGGACCTGTCGGCCGTGAGCAGCGAGGACGCCTCCATGCTTCCCTCTCCCCAGATGCTCAGGGGCAAGGTCCTGGTCAAGGTGAGGCCCTGCGGCTGGCTGGACCCTGACTGGCCTGGGTCTCCTTGATCCTGTCCCGAGGCTCTGCCCCTGGTGTCTGTTCCTCCCAGGGGAAGAAGCTCCCAGCCAACATCAGTGACGATGCGGAGGAAGGCGAGGTGTCTGATGAGGACAGTGCCGACGAGATCGACGAGGACTGCAAGCTCCTCAACGGGGATGTGAGTGTGTGGGGCACGGAGGGGTGCAGGAGGCTGCCTCGGGGGCCCATGTGGCTGGGGTTGGTGGGGGCCACCCTCTGCCTGCCCCACCCCACCTGTCACAGGAGCCCCTGCTGCAGCCATGGGACACCCCACACGGTTTGTGACCCCTTCCAGTGCCCACTCCTGAGCTGACTCGGGTGCTGCTCGCTGCCTGGCCCCATCCTCTGGCCCCTGAGCTCACTGGGGCGTGGCTCCCACATGGTCCCATTGGCACCCTTCTGTGCTGGCCTCTGCCCAGAATATCCTGGATTCCAGCCAGTTCCGGGCCAGCTCCAGCCCACGCGGGGAGGCTCCTGGTCCTGCCCAGCGGAGCCTGGCCCAGCCTCAGCCCCACTCGAAGCTGCACCAACCCTAGTCGAGAGCTCCTGCCAGGCGGGCCAGCCAGACCCAGTGGTGGCTGGCTTCCCCAGGGCTGGCTTGGTCCCTGCGGAGGGAGGGAGGCTGGCCGAGGAGGCTTGAGGACCCTGGGTGCAGAGGGCTGGGGGTGGAACTGGCTTTCTCTCGCCTCCGTTGCTGCTCTGATCTGCTGCTGCTGCTGCTAGGAGGCAGCGGAGCCTATTTCTCCCCAAGGGGCCATTGGATGGGAAAATAATTGTGCAGAAGGCTTCCCGGCCAGGCTGTTTAATTGTTTTAGAAAGCACTGAGACAGCAGAAATCTTCCCGCGCTGGGTGTGCCCGCGCATGCCTCTGCCTGGCTCCTTGGTGGAAAACCCATGACCACGATGTCCGCTTAGCGCTCACTCCAGCCCAGCCCCAGGCTCCCCCAAAGTCTGCTCTGACCCCTGCCCATCTTCTTGAGTATGTGGTGGCCGGGGTGGGTCCCTGATCCTCTGCTGCCTGCTGGGCATGCTGACTTCCTCCCCTGAGGCCTACCGACCAGGGCACTGCAAGCTCTCTGCTCACTGCCCCTGGGCAGCACCAAGGGGACCAGACGGGCCTGGACCCAGGGGCAGCTCATCACTCCTCAGCCACCCCAAGGCTGCAGCTTTCAGAGCTGTGAGTGGGCAGTGCGTGTGCCGGCCCTGGGGCTGTCACCTGCTGCTGCCTTTGGGGCCGGGGACACGTGCTGAGGGCTGGCCTCTGGTTCCCGCAGGCCTCCACCAATCGGAAGCGTGTGGAAAACATTGCCAAGAAGAAACTGGATTCTCTAATCAAGGAGTCAAAGATCCGAGACTGTGAAGACCCCAACGACTTCACAGTCTCCACCATGTCCCCGTCAGGGAAACCTGGGCATAGAGCAGATGCCAAGAAGGTGAGGCCCCCGAGGACAAGGCTCCCACCTGCAGCTCTGTGTGGGGACACAGGTGCCTCTGTGTACACGCCTGTACCCCTCATGCCTATACACATACACCTCGGTGCACACAGCCATACACCTGCCCTTGCTCCTGGGCACACCTCTGCAGACACATATCATGACACACATGTGCACATCTACACACATCTATATGCACACGCACCTGCACACACACCTATATAACTTCTGTATGTGTACAGCTGCACACACCTGCACATATGCACACTTTGCACAGATATGCCTGCACACCCAAGCACACATGTGTGCACACACACACACACTCCTCTGCCTGAGACTCGGGCCCTGAGGCCGGTGTGCCCTCCATGGCAGGTCCACCTGGAGCTTTGGCCTGTCTCTGCCTCTCCCTTGTGGAGAACAAGCCTGTGCAGTTACCTCGCCTAGCAAGATGGCGGGGCCCAGGCCCTGTGGTGTGTGCTGCGGGTCCTGTCCTTCTCACTGCTCTCGTGGTTCTAACAGCCACACCTGACCTCAGCCTGGGCAGATGGCCCCGAGGAGACTTGTGCATCGCCTAGGGTGGTGAGGGTCTCATGAGTGACAGAGGGTGACCAAGGTCTCGGGGCACCAGGGCTGGGAGACATCCAGCAGGTAGACGCGGCTGCCCCGCCTCAGCCGGCCACAGCTGGGGGGTGGCGTCCCCACGGAGATGATGGCTGACAGAGGCTATCATGACATACACCATGGAGCGTGGGCGCGTGCATGTCTGTGTGTGTGCAAGCATGCGTGCTGGGGAGGCAGGGACAGGGGGCCTCTCTGGACAGGGCAGCAAGCCTTGGAGGCTGGCCACATCTGCCAAGGGGCCCAAGCCAAGCAGCTGCGCAATGTTGGCAAATCAGGACGTGGCGGTGACTGGAGACCTGTGGGCTGGCGTCTCAGGCTGGCTCCTGGCCATTTCCCAGGCCCTTGGGGAGGCGGGGAGACTGGGAGGGGTTTCTTCCTGGCTGTGGCTGTGTCCTGCAAGGACCAGTATTTTTGGAGGCAGGCGTTTGTGTTTCCACCCACGGCCCAGCGTTCTTGGCGGGTGCACACAGGCTTGGCTCTATTTCAGTCCCAGGCATCCAGGTGGGGCAGCGTGGCCCACCTGAAGCTCTGCCTAGCCAGGTGGGGTTGATGTTAAGTCTGTGCTTTCCTTGGCCAAGCAACACCTGGCAGGGCACCAGGGGACGCTGTGAGCCTGACTACCTCACGTCTGAGCAGCTGCTGAGGGCTTCTAGGAACAGCAGGAGGAGGAGCAGGGGCTCAGGCTGGGCCACCGCGGTGGGAGGAGGCCCAGGCCCCCGATGGCAGCAGCAGGCTGTCCTCTGCCGGCCCAGGTCAGCTCAGAAGGGCCCGAGAGCCCTCAGGGACAGCCATGTATGTGGTGGACACAGGGGTGGGGCTAAGGGGATGTGTCCAGCAGGGATTCAGAGTGGAGAACGCCTGTTCCAGGCTGCCATAGACACAGGAAGTCCTGTTGAGAGCCCCTCAGGCTCTACCTGCTGGACAGGGTGTCGACCCTCTGCATGGGCACCTGGAGGACATGAGACCCCCTTGGGGAGGCTCAGGCAGTAGGGCAGATGCCTGGGGAGACAGAGGGCTTCAGCTGAAGTGCTGGGTGCCAGGACAGGGCACGCCCCTGGGGATCCTGTGAGGACAGAGCAGCAGCCCTGCTGTGGCTCTGTCCCTCAGGGTCCCTCAGTGTAGCCTGACTCACCCACCTGCTGGGCTCACCCAGGACAGACGGTGGCTCAGGGCTGGGAGGGCCAGGCCGCCAGCTGCCTACAGCCCCGTGGTGGTCAGTGGAGCTGACGCCTCTATGTGGATGCCCTGGGGTGGCAGCAGGTTCTGGCCTTGCTGTGTGGGTTGTGGGTGGCCACCTGTTCTTCAGGGCCATCGTGCACCTCTCCTTAGGCCCAGATCGTGGTCACTCATGGCTCAGCAATGGCAGCATTCTGGGCAGCATCTCTATTGCCTCCTGGCCCACGGGCGCAGTGGCCACGCCTCCCTTGACAGTCACCCCTGAGCGGAGAGGAGAGGGTCTGAGACTGCTGAGGCCAGGAGGGCAGTGCTCAGAAGGCCACATGAGATGGGATGGCCTTGTGCACTCCTTCCTTGGATCTGCCTCAGGCTTGGAGCTGGCAACGGCCCTGCCCGGAAGGGCCGGCCAGGGAGGCCTTTGGACCCAGTGTCAGGTCAGCTGGGCCAGTCCTGGCTTCCTGGGAGGGCTAATAGTGTGCAGGGCTCCGGCTGGTGGTGGTGATTTTGGAGCATGTCTGTGGGACTCACCTGGCCTTCTGTGTAGGGCAGAGGCTACCCCAGCTCAGCTCCAGGGAAGCAGGAGTGGCAGGATGCTGCTGGGCTGCTAGCCTGAGGGTGCTGTTGCCAGGTGTGCTTAGTGGCTCTCACGGCAGCTCTGGAGCACCCATGGTGTGTGAGAACGTGTCATGTGTGTAGACGTGTCCGTGGTGTATGCAGGGCGTGCATGGTGTATACCTGAGTGTCCATAGCATGTGCAGGAACATGTCCACGTGTGCTGATATGTCCAGGTGTGTGTGAGGTGTGTGGTCTGTGCAGAGCGTCTGCAATATGCCCCTGTGTGTCTATGGTGTGTTCAGGCCTGCACACAGGAGTCTTCCTATGCATGTAGTCAGGGTCTGTGTGGTGTGTCACCTTTGGTTGAAGCTGCTCTAGTTTTTTTCTTTTTTCTTTTCTTGTCTTTTTGAGACAGAGTTTCACTATGCAGTTGAGGCTAGCCTTGAACTCACTTTGTAGCCAAGGATGTCCTCAACTCACAGTGATCCTCCTGCCTCAGCCTCCCAACTTTTTTTGCAGTTGCTTCATGGCTGAGGCCCTGGTTGCTGCTGGTGGCCCTCTTATGTGTGATAGGAGCTGCCCCTCCTGCTGGGAGTGGGGTACTGGGCACCTCCTGGACAGGCTGGGCCAAGTTTGGGGGCACTTGTGAGGGGGCTGGCGGGGAGCAGGTGGAGTGGCGGCAGCAGCTTCAGGGAAGCAAGCGCTCTGCATAGGATCCTGTGGCCCAGGGTGGCCGAACTCTAGGGTGGCTGGGCGGTGGATGGTGGGAGGAGGGGCACAGGGCCTGGGGACCAGGAGGCGGGGAGAGCTGTGTGGTCCCAGAGGGCTGAGTCCCAGCTCCATGCTGAGGGTGCAGAAGACTCATCTCCTGCCCCTGGTGTCGGGGTCACAGCTGACACTGTGTCCAGGACCCGGTGCTACTGGGGTGTGGGTAACCCCTCTGCTCTGGGCGGCGGGGTCCTGAGAAAGCAGGCCGGCTAGGGGTGTCCCGGACTCTGGCAGCGTTCAGGTGCAGTCTGTCCCAGGACAGCGAGTCAGCGGGATGGGATTAGAGCCAGGCCACGGAGAAGCCTGTGCTGCCCACCCGGCCCCGGCCTCCAGGACTCGCCCTGGCTTTGTGCCCGCTCGCCCCGCCCTCCCTAGCTGGGCTCAAGCCCACTCTTCAAGGAAGCCTCGAGGCTGCGGGGGGCACCAGTCTCATCCTTACCTGTCTCCCTTGGGCAGAGCAAAGCTGAGGAGGACGTGGAGCCTGGGGAGGACGCCGGGGCCAGCAGACGCAACAGCCGCCTCCTCATGAGTAGCTTCTCCAAGCGCAAGGTCCGGCCCCGGTCCCAGACTGGGGGCCCTGTGTGGGGACCCCGCAGAGCCCACCCTACTCCCCAAACCAGGTGCTAGCGGGCTCTGGGGTCAGATGCCTCGGCGGCCCCCTCTGGCCTGGCCGGTGCCTGAGCTCAGACACCCTATGGCTGCCCCAAGTTGCCAGGGCCTGGGCAGAGCCAAGCGGCTGGGCAGGAAGGGTTTGCAGGCTGTGTGGGCTGCTGGGAACCCAGAGGGCCCAGCTGAATGAGGGCCCCGCAGGTCATAGCTCTGTCCTCCGGCACAGAGAAAGGGCAACAAGCTAAAGAAGGTGTCCAGCATGGAGGAGGGGGACGAGGACCCGGACTCACCAGGAAGCCAGAGCCGAGGGTCAGTGGCCTGAAGGGGCGGGGGCATCACCCTGGGGTCCTCGGGGCGGTGGCCCCACGCCCTTCCCTGAGTGACCCACTGGGCTGTCCCCAGACACCAGGCAGGACCTCAAGGCAGCCGTGGGAAGGAAGCTGCTGTCCAGGCGGCAGCAGCGGTGGGATGTGTGGGTGGGCACGGGCAGCCTGGCAGGATGGACACTGGGGCAGGGTCGGCCAGGGCAGCACACACCAGGCCTTGGTGCCCCTCCCCCTCCCCAGTGCTGCTTGTTCCTGGTGATGGGGGTTCCCTGCGATAGAAGTTCCCATGTCCCACGGGGCTGGCACTGGTCCCTGGGACACCTCGGGTTTCGTGGCGGCCTCCTCTGCCTGAGCCCATCTCTCTCCTCCCAGGGCTCTCCCCTGTGTGCCCTATCCGGGTCCTGTTCCTCCCCCGTCACACCAGCTCTCTCCTGCCCCTATAGCACCCCCGCAGTCTCTGCCCCGCCTCTCCTGCTCAGGGCCTTCCAGAGCCCACATCCTCACCCCTCCCGGCCGGCAGCAGGCTTGTCCCCATGGGCTTGGGATGCCCAGGCCTTTGTACCAGCTGGCACCCTACAGGGGCGTCTGCCCAGCCTTGCCGTGGCCTGGGTCCATGCCTGACGGGGTTGGCACCTGCTCCAGGCTTAGCACAGTCCCTCAGGCCAAGTGGCCTCTGTGTGTGCCCTGCCCATGCAGTGTGGGCCTGGAAGGACCTGCCCAGGGGCCGGAGCCCCGTAGTGGAGCTGGGTGCCTGCCCGGCTGCCCTGAGCGGGAGGGCACCGCAGGGCCCCGACTGCCTCTGCCATGCCCCGCAGGACAGCCCGGCAGAAGAAGACCGTGAAGCTGTCCCGGGCCCTCTCGGACCTGGTGAAATACACCAAGTCCGTGGGCTCTCATGACGTGGAGATGGAGGGTGAGGGCCGTGGGGCAGGCATGGGGGGCCCCGGAGCCGGGCTGTGTGTGCCCTGAGGCCCACAACTCATGCCACGGTCTGCGCCACAGTGGCCTCGAGCTGGCAGGTGTCGTCCTTCAGCGAGACCAAGGCCCACCAGATCCTGCAGCAGAAGCCGGCGCAGTACCTGCGCTTCAACCAGCACCAGCTGTCGCGCATCTACCCCTCATCCTACCGCGTGGACTCGAGCAACTACAACCCGCAGCCCTTCTGGAACGCTGGCTGCCAGATGGGTGCGTGTGGCTGAAGGGCGAGGAGGCCGCGGCCGTGGCCCTGCCATCCTGCAGCCGGAGCCCACCACGGGCGTGAAGCCTTGTTTCTGTCCTCACCCCCGACCCATGGCTTTGGCACACCTCTACTCTGCTAGGCTGGCACCCAGCTGAGTCCTTAAACCCCAGGCAGCCTGGGAGAGACGGCCCCACTGCCCTGGCCCTGTGTGTGTGTGAGCTGGCGGGGCCCAGCTGGGGGACCTCCTGCAGGATGCAGGGCCCCTCCTCACAGTGGGGAGCTGCAGGGCCCACCCGTGGGGACGAGGCAGAGCCGGGGGACACAGTGGTTGGGGGCACAGTGTGGGGTGGCTGCTGACTCCAGGGCCTTCTGTCCTCAACCGCAGTTGCCCTGAACTACCAGTCAGAGGGGCGGATGCTACAGCTGAATCGGGCCAAGTTCAGTGCCAACGGCAACTGCGGCTACGTGCTCAAGCCCCCATGCATGTGCCAGGGTGAGGCGCGGGGGTGCGGGGCCACAGGGCACACCAGGCAGCAGGGGGGCTAGGCTGCCACCTGCTGCCAGGATTCTGAAGGTGGAGGCAGCACCGCCCCGGGCTGCCTGTGAAGGACCCTGCTTGCCAGGGCCTTGGGTTACAACTTGGGGAGTCCCTGGCCCAACCTGGGCCCTCGTGAGAGGTGCGAGCAGGGCTGGCCTGAGGGGTCTGGGGTCTGCAGGCTCAGGCCCGACACTGCAGCTGGACTCCCGAAGGCCTGCACCTCCTTTTTGCCCCTTGGTCTCTGCCTGTGGTTTCCCCATCTCCTCCCTCTCCTCCTCACCCTGCCTCTGTCCTATGGAGCTGTGTCAGCACTCAGCATGTCCTCGAAGTCCTCAGCCTGTGCAAGCTCCTGGCCGCCCCCATCTTTGCACTGTCCCTGTGCCTGGATGGGGGCTGACTGTGGCCGGAGTCCCCAGCACCCAGCTGCTATGTTTTTGGGGTGCTGGCTGCTCTGCTCACACCCGCATCCTCTCAGGTGTCTTCAACCCCAACTCTGAGGACCCCCTGCCTGGACAGCTCAAGAAGCAGCTGTCCTTGAGGATCATCAGTGGGCAGCAGCTCCCCAAGCCACGGGACTCCATGCTGGGCGACCGCGGAGAGGTAGGGCCAGGCCTGCGCAGGAGGTGTGGGCTGTGGGGCCCCATGCGGTCCTTGTCTCAGAACCCGACGCCACCTGTCACGCCATGCCCAGATCATTGACCCCTTCGTGGAGGTGGAGGTCATCGGGCTCCCTGTGGACTGCAGCAAGGAGCAGACCCGTGTGGTGGATGACAATGGTGAGCATCCCGATGCCAGCCTGTGCCCATGCTGGGGACCACAGCCCAGCCCGGCAAGGAGAGGCCAGGGCTACCTGTAGTGTGCCAGGTGCCCCAGCCCCTGAGGCCCCCAGACCCCTGGCTCTCACATTCTGGGGCACAGGGCTGGGTCGCAGCCCGGCCCACACAGCCTGCCTTCCCCTCCAGGATTCAACCCCATGTGGGAGGAGACGCTGGTGTTCACGGTACACATGCCCGAGATCGCGCTGGTGCGCTTCCTGGTCTGGGACCACGATCCCATTGGGCGGGACTTCATTGGCCAGAGGACGCTGGCCTTCAGCAGCATGATGCCAGGTGGGTGGGCCAGGCTGCGGAGTTGGCCCTGGCAGGGCTTCTGGCAGTGGCCCCAGCACACAGAAGCCCCCACTCCCGCCGGCTTCTTGGGGTGGGGGGCTCGCCCACGGGAAGCTCCCTGCAGGCTCCACAGTGCCCCTGGGTGTTCTGGAGGGGTGGAGCTCCATGGGGTCACCAGTCCTGCTCAGGGCTGTGGGAAGAGCGCAGGCCACTGGGCGGGCAGGGCGGGGAGGCCCTGCTGACCGCATGGCCGTGCCCCAGGCTATCGGCACGTGTACCTGGAGGGGATGGAAGAGGCCTCCATCTTTGTGCACGTGGCCATCAGCGACATCAGCGGTAAGGTGAGTGCCCCAGGGGAAGAAGGCAGTGCTTAGTGGCAGTCCCAGAGACTGAGGCCTGCGGTGACCTCGCTGGGCTTCCTCCTCTACCTGAAGTGGGGTACGGGGGTGCTGGCTCTGGGGCCTGCCAGGGCTGACCTCGTGTCCCTGCCCTGGGAAGGAGTTCCCTGGTTTCCCCTCCTGCCTCCTACCTGTGCCTGGCTCAGTCACCCTTGCTGGCCCCACCTGGGAGTGCTGACCACCTGGCTGACAGGGACAGTGCACCGTGGCCTCCCATGGCCTTCTCCCCTCCCTCTCTCCTCAGCCTCCCTGGCTGCCTCCTCTTCCAGAGTTGCCTGGATTTGCCCTGTACCCAGCCCCCAGCACATTGGCCCCAGGCCAGGCCAGAGCAGGGATCTCAACCTGTGAGCCTGGCGGCTCTTCCAAGTGGGGGGTCTGGGCCCCACTGACCTCTCTCTCCTGCTGTGCCTGTGGGCCCAGAGGCTCTGCAGGGTGCTGCTCTCTGCTGCTGCGGTCCGTCTGTCTGTCCGTCCGTCCGTCAGTCTTTCGTGTCCGCCTGTCTACAAGGGCCACGGGCCCCCTCCCTGGCCTCTGGGACCTCTCACCGGCCTTCACTCTGTTTCTTTGGTCTTTCAGTGGGCTTCTGTATGTCCAAAGTCTACTTTTAGAAGCGCGGCCTTGTTAGGAATCTCGAAGGTACCCGGGGCGCCATGGGCCTGTGCAGCCCGCGCCCCTGCATGCCAGGTCGCACTCATTAGCATCTGTGACTCCTGGTAGCATTTTGGAGACTGTCAGTTCATTTGACATGGGCCATGACGTGGTTCCGGGTGCCCTGGGCCATCCTCAGCCAGAGTGGCATTTATGAGGCAGATCCAGGATTCAGCTGAAGCCGCTGCCTCCTCCCCACTGTCCTGTGTCCCCCTCTCCTCCTTGCCCTCGGGCATCGCTTCTGTCCCTCCCCCTCCTCCCTCCCCTCCGTATCCCCCATGCTGTCATTTCTCAGCCCACTTCCATTCTCTCCTGTCGCCAGTGCCTGGGGTGGGGGCACCATGGGGCCTGGCACTCCAAGCCTGAATCCTGGATCTCCTTCTGAATGGCGTTCCAGCCCACGTTGACCAAATTGCATTGGATTTGGGATCTTGAATCAGGACACTGATTCAAGTGCTGGCCACGTTAGTGCCTCGCCAGAAGGGTCCCCATCTGCCAGGCCCTGGCCTGCTCTGTACCAAGTGCGGCCCGTCCGTCCTGGGGAGCGGTGGGTGCTGCAGGGCCTTCATGGGGTGCAGGGGTGTCTGGCATGTGGCGACCCCTGCTCTGTACTCGGGAGCTGCAGCTGCCCCGTGCTCTCCAGCAGGGACCCCGGTGGGGACTGCAGGGGAGGCCTGTGCAGGGACCTCTGGCCCAGCTGGACAGGAAGCAGCTGTAGCCTGGCAGGCTGGGAGCCTGAGTGCAGCTAGGCAGTGGTCCAGCACCGAGCCAGCTGGGGCTGCAGGCTCACTCAGGCTGAGAGTAGGGCTGGGCTGGAGGAGGCTGCAGAGTTCAGAAAGGCTCCTGGAGCAGTGTCCCTGTGGGGGCACCAGGGGCAGCCAGGGCAGCCAGGGCAGGGCGGGGCAAGCAGGCCGCAGGTGCACCCAGCTGTGCTTGCTTCCGTGACTGCCGCTGCTGAGGGCTTGGGGATGTGACCCACAGCGGCCACAGCGCCCTGCTTCTCTCTAGTCCAAGAGCGGAGCCAGGTGTGGTGGCCAGGGCCAGGGCTGAGGTCTGTCCTTGAGAGAGCCACAGAAGGGTGGCTCCTGCCTTTACTTGCGTTCAGAAGGGCAGATTGTTAGTCTGAGACGGGTCCTGCCATCCCCAGTGGGGCTGCTGGGAGAACCCCTGTGGCTGGCGTCCTGCACACTCCCTGGCTGCCAGTCCAGTGGTGCCTGGCCTGTTCCACCAATGTGCCCCGTGGGGCCCTCTGGGAGCAGGTCCTCGGGCTGCAGCCACAGCTGGGCTATGTGTCCCTGGCACCAGCTATGTGGGCTCCTTCTTTTGCAGGCCAAGCAGGCTCTGGGCCTAAAAGGTCTCTTCCTCCGAGGGGCAAAGCCAGGCTCCCTGGACAGTCATGCTGCTGGGCAGCCCCTGCCCCGGCCCTCCGTTAGCCAGCGGCTCCTGCGGCGCACGGCCAGCGCCCCGACCAAGAGCCAGAAGCCGGGCCGCAAGGGCTTCACGGAGCTGGCACTGGGCACACGGGACGTGGGCTCTGAGGGGGCAGCAGACGACGTGGTGCCCCCCAGCCCTGGCCCCCCTGCAGAGACCCCGGCCCACAATGGCCTGGGCAGCAGCAACTCCCGAGGTAAGGCACCGGCAGCCGTGGCGGCGGCAGCAGTGGCTGCTGAGCCCAGGAGCGCTGCACAGGTGCGGCCTCTGCGTGGCCCCGAGGGCTCTGGGCCTGCCGGGATGGCCTCCACGTGCATGAAGTGCGTGGTCGGCTCCTGCACCGGTGTGGACGCGGAGGGCCTGTGGCGGGAGCAGCCGCCCAGCCCAGGGCCTTCAGGCAGGCTCACGGCCATCAGCCAACAGCCCCAGGCCTGGGTGGACACACCGCGGAGCCCCTGTGGCCTGGGCCCTCGAGCCACCCCGGGGAGAAGCCAAGAGGCCTCTAAGGGGCCTGGGGCCCAGCGGCAGGGCCCAGGCGGCAGCGGCTCTGTGTCCTCGGACTCCAGCAGCCCAGGCAGCCCAGGCAGCTCCCAAGTGGTCCCCTGCCCGCCTGAGGGTGCCCACAGGCAGCTGGGGGCCCTGCAGGGAGAGATGAATGCCTTGTTTGCTCAAAAGCTGGAGGAGATGAGGAGTAGTTCCCCCATGTTCTCCACGGGTAAGGCCAGCCGTTCCTCTGCGCCGTGCCCTCCACCTGCCCCGGCATGCCTGGGCCTCGTGTCTCCTGCTGTGCTCGTGTCTCTGCTTCAGTGTGCTCTTCAGCCTTGTCTGCCCTGGCTCCTGCCCCTCTGCACAAGAGGCCCTGGCACTCTGCGGGTGGCACCCCTTGTCCAGCCAGGCCTCTGCCAGTCCAGGGCTCCCCCTGCTGGGAAGTCTGCCAAAAGGCAGTGGTGTAGCCATAGGGCGCCCCCAGATGTCCTGCAGCCTGGGCTGGTGCTCCGGCCGGGATGCTGGGCCTGAGTTTGCAAAGGGCTGGGACTGCTTCCCTTACTCCCGGGGCCCATGACTTGGCAGCACCAGGAGACTCCAGCCAATCCTGGCGGACAGCGGGTGGAGGGTACAGCTGGGGTGCCAGACCCTAGCCTGGGTGGGAGGGACATGTGCCGAGCCCCTCACTCTGCTCTGCACCCCTGTCCGCCTTGCTGTCCGTCTACCCCTTGCCTAGCCCCACCCTGCTGACCTTTTTCTCTTTCTGTCCCTGCACCCTGGCTGCCTCATAGTTAGGGACTGAGAGCCGCGTGTGCCAGGTAATGGCCCGGCCCCCATGTGCCCGCGTTGCCCCAGGCCCCACAGACCTCGCATGTGGGCACAGGGCCTGGGCACCTTGCCCGTTCACAGCCCAGCCCCAATGGCAGCAGGGAGGGGGGCACATCGAGTGTGCCATGCTATCTGTGTGCAGATGGACAGGCCTGGCTGCTGAAGGTCCTGGGGAGCCCTTAGACCCGTGGCACAGGGGGCTGCAGGGTCCATCTTTGACCTGGCTCAACTTTCCCCTCCTCTCATCTCCCTCTGTCTCCCAACTTCCCTCTGTCTGTCTCCCACTTCTCTCTCCCTACAGACGCCCGCCCCTTCTCTACACAGCGGTCCGTCTCCCCCTTGTGCAGCCTGGAGCCCATCGCGGAGGAGCCAGCCCTGGGCCCTGGTGCCCCTGCCCAGGCAGCCACCCCCACCAGCCCTCCCAGGGGCCAGCCCCAGTCCTTTGTGGGGCCTGCAGCCAAAGTGGCCAGTCCTGCACGGACAGCTCGGGAACCTCCTGGCCCCGTCCAGCTCAGGACTGGGGGCCAAGGGGACAATGAAAAGGCTCCCAGAAAGCTGCTCAGCGGTGCGGGGCCTGGTGAGGCACGCGAGGGGGCCACTGGCAGCCAGCCAGACAGCAGGAGTCAGCCACGAGCCCTGGGCCTTCTGCCTGTGGTCAGAAGGGCCAAGAGTGAGGGCCAGGTGCTCTTGGAACCCTTAGGCGCATGGCGGCCGCTGGCTGGGCCCTCCCCCACCCCTGCCATCTACTCGGACGCCACAGGCAGCGACCGGATATGGCAGAGGCTGGAGCCAGGCAGCCACCGAGACAGTGTGTCCTCGTCTTCCAGCATGTCCTCCAGCGACACTGTCATAGATCTCTCCTTAACGAGCCTGGGCCTGGGCCGCAGCCGCGAGAGCCTGGCTGCGACCCCCCTGGGCCGCCTGCCCCTGAGGCCTGGTTCGGCCTCTACCATCCGCCCGGACCTGCCTCCTGTGACCAAGAGCAAGTCGAATCCCAACCTGCGGGCTGCGAGCCAGCTGCCTCCCATGCCTGACGCGCTGCGGCCCCGGCCTCTGGCCCCACGCCTGCCTGGCCCACGTCCCCGGCCCTCCTGGAGGGGCCTCGCCCTGGTGGGCCTGCAGGACTGCCCGGTGGCTGCCAAGTCCAAGAGCCTGGGGGACCTGACAGCTGATGACTTCACCCCCAGCTTTGAGGGCAGCTCCCACAGCCTGGGCCGGAGCCTGGGCCCCCCAGGCAGGGTGCAGCGGGACGCCCTGACAGAGCAGCTGCGGTGGCTCACTGGCTTCCAGCAGGATGGGGACATCATGTCGCCCACCAGCCTGGGCCCAGCTGGGGATGGGGCAGCCGGGGCCCCCGGCTTCCTGCGGCGCTCCTCCTCCCGCAGCCAGAGCCGTGTGCGTGCTATTGCCAGCCGGGCCCGCCAGGCTCAGGAGCGGCAGCAGCGGCTGCGGGGCCTGGACCCACGGACACCCCCAGAGGAGGAGCGGGGCACCCCCGAGGGCGCCTGCTCCGTGGGCCATGAGGGCTGTGTCGATGCCACAGGCCTCCCCAAGGGTGCCCTGGAGCAGGTGGCTGGTGCCGCCGACAGCTTGCTCCTGCTGAGGCTCTGAGTCCGTGAACAGTGCTGCCGGTGTCCTGGGACCCAGCCCACAGCCCGGAGAGCGAGCTAGGCTACATCCAGCCCAGGCTGCCCCTGCTCCGGCCCTGCAGAAGCCCAGGATGTGTACAGAGAGTGCGGAAGTTTAAGACAGAACTCAGCATCCAAGTGCTGCCCCGCCCTCCCATCCTCCCTGGTGTCCAGTCCTTGGGTGCATGTGGCGAGCCTGTCCCCAGGGTCCCTCCGCGCCCAGAGCTGCTCCATCCCCCCACCCAACTGTACCTCACGCCCTGTGGATGGTCGTCCCCGTAGGGGCGTTCTGAAGACTACACTCCTGGATACAGCTCCAATAAATGAGTTCATACCTGCTCCCTCGTCCTTCCAGGCCGCTCTCAAGGCAGTCCCAGCAAAGGCCCAGCGGCCAGCTCCTCAGGGGCAGGCCTGGCTCTGCTCTGGGAAGGCTGGGGGCTGGCTGGGTGGGAAGGGTGCACTGGGCAGGGAGGCTGTGCAGGCTGGGATTGTCCTCTGCCCACCCCAGGGCTCAGGACAGCTGGGGAGCGCCCCAATATGTGCACAGCCTCAGCCCCCCAGCTGCAAGAATCTGACAGCCTGCTGCTGACCAGGGCCAAGGCAGGAAAAGCATTCTCTCTGGGGACACGGCCCCTGGCCCAGTGTAGGTTGGCACAGGCCTCTCGAGGGCAGCCGTGGGCAGCCACAGGGAATGGTGTCACCCAGCCCACACTTGGCTGGGCTGGAGCGGGGTCCTCTGCGAGAGCTTCCCACCTCCTGGAGCCCGGGGCAGATGTTCGCGGTGGGGTGGGCTGCTGCCCAGCCACCTGGGGGTGGTGACACGACTATGCGTGCAGTAGCTCTTCCTGAACCACTGAGAGAAGGCAGGAGAGCAGAGGCTACGGTGGTCTGGAGGACACAAACAGCACATGGCTCCCATACCAGTGGTAGAGGCACATGCTAGGGTGTTCACAGGCCCGAGCCCACTGCCCTTGTCTTGGCTGTCTCTGCCCCCTGGACCTCTGTTCTTCCCCACACCAGCCTCTCAGGCCCAGGGGGGCCTGTGGACACCTAAGAGCCGCCATGAGGCCCGGCCTGCAGCCCACACGAGCCAGGCAGGGAGGTTCTGCAGTGGGACTGTCTCCCTGGGTGGATGGACTCCAAGGCCCAGCCCCGATCTGGGCTGCAGGTATCAGAGCTCAGGAGGCCATGCGGAGCCCAAGGGCTTCCTATCAGCACGGGCCCAGGAGCCCTGGATGCTGACCCAATGACAGAAACTGTGGCCTGGTGACTCAAGGCTCCGGCCAGGTGGGAAGCAGGGGGCTCTGCCCTGCGGCCACAAGAGGGGAGCAACCTCAAGACAATTCAGGCTGCCACTGGGACTGTCTGGTGTGGCACCTGCTGCTCCCTGGTAGCCAACATGGGAGGGGGTGGGGTCCAACATGGCACTGGATACCAGGAAGCAGACGCTAGTCCCGGGCAGAAGGGGTTGGATGAGGCTGGAAGACACCTGGCTGGTCTCTGCTGCAGCCTGGGTCAGGCTGCAGGTCATCTGAGCAGCTCTGCACTGGGGGCATGGTGGGAAGTGAGGGGTGGCAAAGGAGCAGTTGCTGCCACAGAGGCAGAGCCCAGCTGCCTCACTTTGCTTGCCAGCCCCGTGGTTCTCAGAATGGGCAGCTCCCGGCACTCTGTGTGCACACGTAGCTGGCCTCCATGCTGCTCCTGGTGGGTACTGATTTGGGTGGCCAAACATGACCTCAGGTCCACTCCGGACAGGGGGCTGGACTGTAGGACCTTGCAGCACTCGAGGCTGGACTCAAGGCCACAGCAGCAAAACCCATACTGCAGCTCCGAGCTGGTGTCAGCTCCAAGTACCCTCGAGGGCCATCGATGTCATCTCAGGCTCTTCTCTGCGGCTCTTGAGCCAGGAGTGCTGCTCAGCACTTTGCCTTCCCCAGAGCACTGGGGACAGGGGGCGGGGCACACAGCAAGGCAGCACGGAGGCAGGCCAGCTTGCCTGCTGGGGGCAGGAGGAAGGCAGGGACTCAGGAGCAGGCTTGGGGTCAGCAGGACAGGGCCAGGCCCCGTGGCCACTAGCACCGGACCCTGCAGCCCCAGGCACGAGCTCCCTCAGACTTTGGTGTATGTACTTATATATTTTTATATATATATATATATATATATGTGTATATATATATATATGTGATGTGTGTGTATAAAAGATTATTTAACAGTTAAATACATTCCAACACAAGTGTCTCACAAGACAGCTCTGTGCAGTGGCCCGGCACGCATGCCGTCAGTCACCAGCTTGGTGGAAACGGTCCGAGTGAACGCAGGCTCCTCCCCGAGGAATAACACAGTCCTGGCAGGGACAGCGACGGCTGACGGTGGCCTCACTCGGCCGGAACCTCATACTTGAAGATGACACTGAAGAGTGGGCCACCCAGCCGCTCGGCCAGCCAGGCGTTCTTGAGCACGGCCAGCTTGAGGCTCTCGCAGCGCAGCGCCGCATCGTAGTTGGTGTGCACAGCCCGGCCCATGCCCTCGATGACCACCAGGTCAGCGCCGCGCTCCCGCACCAGCACGGCCAGCCCCTTGTCCAGGCGGCTTTGGGAAGGAAGATGGCTGAGGTTGGGCGGAGACCGCAGGACACCGGGGACCCCAAGCACCTGCGTCTAGCCTGCCGTAGCTACTTCCTCCCACTGGGCCACCTTCTGCCCACAGGTCCCAGGGAAAGGCAGCAGCCCAGGTCCAAAGTTGGGCTGGAGGGTGGGGGATGGACGGGGACAGACTGGGTTACCTGAGGTCAAGGCATGGGGAGCTGGAACCCGTCTGCACCAGCAGCAGCCTCTCTTCTTGGAGTGCGGAGCTGTGGGACACGCGGTGGTCAGTGTCCTGCGAGGAGGCACTCCAGGGACCTGACTTCTCCAACTCCCAGGACCCATCAGACTGTCCCCCCCAGCACCTACTGGACGATGGGGTCCATGGCTGCGATGCGCTCGGCCACGATGAGAGACTCGCTGTACGTCACGTCGTTCAGGGCGGGGCCCGAGTTGCATGCCAGGATGACCTGCAGGGGAGGCCCCGGCTTAATCCCTCGCCACTGCACTGGCCTGGGCAACCCTGGCAGGCCCCCTTGGGCCCCAGAGCAGCGTCGAGGCTGGGGCCTGTAGTGAATACCTTACCGGGGGCGGGGGTCAGCCAGGCTGCAGCGGAGGGCCCCTGGGCCGCTCCTGGCCATGCCCACACCTACCTGCTGCCAGAAGCCTGCAGCAGCACCAGCCCACCCAGAGTGGAGGAGCCCGGGGAAGGGTCCCCCACATGGCCCCCGCACTCACCTCCGTCCCTCTAAGGAGTAGCTCCCTGACAAAGGGGAAGACTCCCAAAATGAGGTCTATTCCACTGTTATCTGCGAAAATTAAGGCACATTTATGAGGGGGCCCCTGTAAGACAAAACCAGGACGTTCAGTTGCGAACAGTGCATCCAAGTGCTGCAGACCCCGCCACCCCCATGCCCCCCACAGGGGCTGGCCAGGGCCTCGGGGTCCCAGGGCGCGGCAGGCACTGGGACAAGGTGGCCTGTGGGAGCCTGGACCTGCTCCTTCCAAAGGGCGCCCCAACGACTTGTGCACTGAGGCCAGCTGGGCTGCTGAGTGGCCACTACAGAAGGGCAGGCAGGGCACAGGGATGGCGGACATATGCTCTTGGCCGGGGCACTGAGACTCCTGTGTGCATCGCCTGCTTCCAGGGCAGCTCCTCACCCACCCCCCAGTGGCCTGAAGCACCCCCAGAACCAGCGCCTCCCACCCCCACCCGCCTGTGCTCTGTCCCTCCTGGGCGGGGGCGGGCACCTCTATGTACCTTTAATCTCTGAAGCCACTTGCTGTAGGAGTCCACCAGCCAGGGGCGCTCTGTGTGGAGAGGGGTAGTAATGAGGCACATGAGGGGAGAAGCCTTTGCTGCTTGTGTCTTGGGGCGGGTCCCCCCCCTCCAGGCCTTAAAGGCAGTACTTGTACCTAGTACTTGCACCCCGGCCTGCCACCCCTCTTTCCCATGGGCGATATCCCCCACACACATGGCCTTGTGCCAGATGCTAAGGGCCCTGGGGTGCCCTACCTTGCAGCTTCTTCTTCGCCTCTTCAAACCCAAACTGGGGGTCAGATTCAAGGACGCTGCATGGAGGAGGAAAAAAGGTCAGGTGGACATGTGAGGTCTCCCCAGCCGGCAGATGTGCTGCTCCTGACTTGTAGCCACCACAGGCCACTAGCCCGCTGAGCAGTGCCACGGAAGCCGCAGCAGGCTTCTCAGGCCAAGCAACAGGTCTGAGTGACTGGGTAGGTCCAGGCCCTACCAGGCCTACCAGGCAGCCACAGGGATGCGTACCACATCCCGTGGGAAGGACTCCCTGTAACTCCCGGAACATGCACATGGCCTGCTTGCCAGGGGGATGGCTCTGAAGGGTGCAGCAGGGACACAGCCAACCCTTCGCGTATCTGTGTGCAGATGTCAACCAGGGGCCCAAGAGGGACGAGGAGGCCCTGCCCAACTGCCTGTGCGTGGGAAGCCCTGCCGGTATGATGGGGAATGGGCGTCTCTCTCTAGCCCTGGGCGGAAGGAGGGGACTGGCCAGCCCAAGGCCCACTCATTAAGGTAAACTGCTGTGGACAGCGTTTACTCTGGTCACCCCCAGATCAGAAGCCCAGGAGAGGGCTCCAGATGGACCTGAGAGAGCATGCACTCCTCATGTCAGAGTGGGCCAACTGCCCAGTGCCCTTCCCCTCCCCGGAGCCCTAGCCACGTAAACACGGTGTAAACAACGTGTCATCTCAGACTGGATCTGCAACCCCAGGCCCCCAAGGTGCCTATGCTCAGGGAAGGGCGGCCTGGGGTCAGGACGGGGACATCTGAGCTACAGAAGGAACCCATTCTGAGCACCTGTGTGAGCACAGCAAGAGCCAGGCCAGGTGTGGCTGTGATACCTACTCAGACACAGCCTTGGCCCCCCAGTCGAAGACATTGCCCGCCAACAGCCCCTTCGCCAGGGCCAGCTGCCTCTCCTCCCAGCCCAGCGCGTCCAGGGCCTGGACCACACACTGGAAGCACTTGAGCGCAATGCCGTTTTCCTTCTGCTTTACCTGTGGAGACCCAGGACGACAGTGAGTGGAGACGCCCATGCTGCCCTGGAACAGCCCTTACGCTCCACACGGGTGGGCTGAGGGCAGAGGCCCGCTGGGGACACAGAGCCCACTGAGGGGTAGGGATGCTCAATGCAGCACTGAGCTTCAAAATGTAGCCTGACTGTCTGGGCTGCCCCAGGTTGAATGTGCCTGTCCTGGGCAGTGCTACACGGCAGTGCTTCAAGGGCGGCCTCCTACAGGCACAGAGCAGAGTCTGGACAGGGACAAGGATAGAGGACACAACCCTCCCAGGTGGCTCTGCCCACACCCCAAGGCCCTGGGCACCCAGATGCAGCCAAGTGGGTGGGTGGCGCTGAGGTGAGGCGCAGGCCCTCAGCTGGGTCAGATGGGCAGGGCTGCAAGGCTGACGCCAAGAGGCCACCTCTGGCTTGATGCTAACCTCAGGTCACATGGCCCAGACACCAGAAAGATGGACAGAGGCCCTGGTGTGCTCAGCTTCCAGAAAAGGGCTGGGGGTACGTGTGTGTGCACACCCACGTATGCACACACATGAAACGTGAGGGTCTGAAGCTCCCCCATGCTGATGCCTCTGAAAGGCACTGGGCCTCTCGGGGTGCATGCCCCCCCATGCCACCAAGCCCACTGGCACGGAGGCACTGATGCGGGCCTGCTCGCAAACCTTCAGGCCTGGCAGGAGAGGACACTGCTCAATGCCCTGCTTCCACCCAGCCACCCACCATCAGGGCGAGTGGACTCACCTTGGAGTAGGGGTCTGGGAAGCTGAACTCGTTCAAACAGTGCTCCCGCGTGTCCAGCAGACTGCGCACGGTCAGCGTCCCGTAAGCGCTGGGGGCCAAGCGCAGGCAAACGGCTGAGCAGGGCAGAGCCCGGGAGACCCACCCGTGCCGAAGAGGGGGCACCCGGGTCACGGGCTCCACACCAACAGCATGGCGCTGGCCCCGCGTGCAGGGAGGTGGGCACAGGCGTGGGTACTCACAAGGGCTGGTGCCGCAGGGTCTGCAGCTTGCTCCAATACTTCTGCCGGAACTTCCTGGCCCTCTCAGCTGCATCTGCCGACTCAGGTTGGCTGGCCACGGCGCGCTTCACCACCTGCCCACAGCAGGGCGGTGGGAGTGGTGCCTGCCCTACCCCCGCAAGCTCCCCACCAACAGCAGGCTGAGGTGGGCACAGGTCCAGGCCAGGTCTGCTGCCTCCCACAGGAGAGCTGCAGGCCTCAGGCACTGATGGTGATGAGGGCTCCCCAACCATTCCTCCTGCCACCAAGGGACAGGACAGGGTGGTGTCCCACAGTGCACCATGGCCCGAGCGCAGAGTCCAGCCCTGCTGCCCTGGGATGGTCACCAGGCCTGGCCTGGCCTCAGAAAAGGGGAGAAAGCACAAGCCCCAGTGGGACCTCCAGAACTAACTCACAGGATGGGGGAGGGGCTGTGCTACGCCCTCAAGACACTTAGGGGCCCAAAGCGCCACATGTGAGTCCATGCAGTATACAAGGCAACAAAGGCATGCATGTCCTAACCAAAACTGCCCAGTACCCATCCACACCCCCTGACCCACCATGCACCTGGAAGCAGGTTTTGGCACCCTTTCTGCCTCCCAAACAGACCAGCCACTTGCCCTCTGCCTCCCTTCTGCCATGGGCCTCCTCTGTCTCCAGCCCTCCCGTACCCCATCCAGGGCCTCCTCGAAGCAGGTGAGCCAGTACTTCCGGGCTAGGGCATCGTCAGTGAGGTCCACCGTGTCGGGTACGTAGGAGGATGGGTCCAGGAGGAGGGGCAGGTTGACCAGGGGCCTCTCCAGCCGGTCCATCTCCAGCAGGTCAAACTGAGAGGACAAGCAGAGGCTGGGCTTCCAGCATGAGTACAAGGCTCCCACGGGTGTGCTCTGGGGAAGCCCCAGTCCCTCCATGGTTTGTGGGGCAGACACGCCCCCACCCCAGACTGCCCTAAGTTGGTGTTCAGGCCGCCCGAGGAGTCATGCCCAGGCTCAGCAGCACGTCAGCTCAGGGGTTTCCTGTCAGCTCCCACCCCAGCCTCCCGTGACCTCCCAGGCTGTCCTGGTACTAGCCTTAGACCCTTGAGGTCCAGGTCCCCTGGCCCCTTTTCTGCTGCCCAAGGTTCCTCCTCTAAGTGCCCATGCCAGTCTGTCCTTTTGTCTCAGCCCTGCCAGTCCCACAAAGGCCACTCTGCTCAATTCTCACTGGGTCCCAGCCCCACACACACCCAGACAGAACCCGCCACTGGCGCCAACAACACAAGTGCCCCTGGCAGGAGGAGCTGGGGCGTGCACACGGCAGCCGAGGCCCTCTCTGTGCGGAGTGTACTGGGATAAATGGGGGACCTGGTGCAGCTGCACGACCCCACCGCATCTCCTGCCCCAGTGAATGCCTGCATGGCACATGCCTGCACATGGGCACGCTCTGCTTGGGCACCTCGGCCTGCGGGGAGCGGAGGAGCAGCCACACTCTGGTCGGAGCCCTTGGCCTCCTTGACCGAAGTGCTCTGCGCAGGGCTGGACCGCAGCCAGAGAACGGCCCTTGCACCTGCCTTCTACCCTCAGGTGAGGTCAAAAGCCAGTTTGCTATGAAAGGCACAACACAGAGAACAAGCAGATGGCACAGGCCTAGGCCCACGACTCACTGTGCCACTCCGCGCCCGCTGGGTGGGGCACAGCTCGGGTGACGCGCTCATCAACCCAGAGCTGCCGGCGTAGTTCTCGCCCCAGCTGTACTGGTTTGGATCTGGAAAGGCAAGACACCAGCCACCATGTTAGCCTTGCTTTGGTTCAAAAAAGGAAAGTGGGGGAGGAAAATGGATAGAATCACTTGTCTACCTGAATGCTAAAGATACATGTCCCAGCACCACCCCTAGGCCTCAGGCTCCCCAGCCCACCCAGCCCTGCAGCACGGCCACCATGGGGGGACGGGGGCAGGGCGCGAGACGCTACTCACTGTCATGCTCGGCTCCTTTTAAGAATGCCCCGATGGCCCCCAGGTAGCCTTCGTGTCTCAGGAACAGTGCCTGCACTTCTCCCTGCCCCACCCGGCCCATGGGAAGCTGGTCAGCATCACAGTCAGTACCGCTCTCCCCAACTGTGCCACAGGAGCCATCCACACTCATGTCAGTGGACTGTGCCCAAGCGCAGGGACCACTTGCTGTCTGAGGGACCTGGGGGTGCTGGTACCAGGCACCGGCGTCTGCTGTGTTCACACCCTAACCGCCTGGCTGTTTGGGCACTTCTGACAGCACCTGGCACAGCCCATACCTGGCATGCCAGTCTGCAGCCACTGGGCAGGCTCCATATCCCTCAGGCCTGCATGATGCTCACTGGCAGCAAGGGACAGTGCCCCACCTGCCTGTCACTGGTCACATGTTCACATGCAACATGCAGGATGCCCACAATTAGCCAGCAGGGGAGGGCAGGTGAGGGCAAGACCCAGCAACTGGGCTCCAGGTTTCCTGACGTGTCCTCCCAGGGAGCCCAGGGAGGACTGAGGACCCTGATCCCAGGGTCAGCAGCCCAGCCCCAGCTCAACTCCCCGGGCACGGTGCTCAGGCCACGGCATTCAGCCAGCAGGCTGCTGCGTCTGTGGCACGGACAGGCCGTTAGTGACGGGATGGACAGGTCTGCAGAGAACACGAGCAGTGCTCACCTTGGAGAAGAAGTTAATGCTGTAGGTGATGGTGTGCATGGTCACAGGGTGGCCCCGGATGAAGAAGCCCCCAAAGTACACTCTGTCCAGGCGGTGGAGCTTGGCATAGAGGCAGGCGAGCTGCCCGATGTCGTTGCTGATCATGTGCAGCAGGCTCTTGGCCATATCTTCCTTGGAGAACTCTGGGAAACATGGGCAACACTGGTTGGGGGTGACCCCAGGGTGTGATGGGGGCGTTGCTAGGCGGGAGACTAGGGAGAGCAGAGGACTCTGAAAGGCATCTGGCCTGTGACTCAGTCCCGCAGGTAGATTTGTTTCCTACACTGTTTCCTCCAAAGCAAAGGTGGATGGGGTTTCCTTGCTGATGTGCTAAGGGCATAGAGCTGGTTTGCAGCAAGTGCAAGACAAGGCAGTAGGAGAGGCAGGGAGAGGTTCTAGTCAGTGGGCCATGCCCGGGATCACCATGAGTCCCCTCTGCCCCTGGGTGGGGGACAGGGCCCAGCGGGTACCTTTGTCAGCAGTGGCCGACTTCCCGAAGCTGCTGGCGATGAGGTTGCCACTCAGCCCCAGAGTCTGGTGGGCTCCGCCGTAGATGTCCTGTACCAGCATGTCCACATTGGCATGCTGGCCCTTTGAGGCCAGATGTAGCAGCTCATCGAACTTCTGCAGAGGCAGAGCAGTGGGTGGGGCTTCTGGCAGCTAAGGGGTCCCCACCCCACAGAACCAAGTTCCTAAAGGTAAGCAAGCTGGGCTGGACACAAACGCCCTCCCTTGTCACTGGGCCGGCGGGGGGCGGGGCGGGCAGGGCTAGTGAGGTGAGCTGGACATGGTGGGCTACCAGCCAGGCTATCCTGGCAGCTTGGGCCTCCACTCTGCAGAGAGTAAACCTCTCAGCTATGGGGCTCTGAGAAACAGTCAGAACAAAGGCCAGGAAGGAGTGCTCCGCAGCAACCTAGACACAGGTCCCCGCTCCCCTAGGGGTACCTTTGTCTTGGTGAGCAGTGCCCCGAGCCCCCAGAAGGTGCCGCCGCCAATGGAGCTGCCACCAATCCACTCGAACCTGTCCTCCGTCTCTACCTGGGGCAGAACCGGGCAGGAGCCTCAGCCACGGGGTCACCAGGGTGCATGGCCAGGGCTGCGCCTTGTCCCACCTTGCACCATTGAGGGACACACGCTCAGCTAGGGCAGCAGAGGCCTCATAGCAGCTGCTGATCACCTTCCATTGGCTGAAGGAAGCAGTCTCACCTTCACGATGGAGACGCCAGAGCCAACATTGACCAGGAGGTACGGGAAAATGTTGGCGTGATTGGTCTGGAATCGGAACTCAGGTTCGGTGTCTTTCTGATACACGAAGGCCTCATGTGGGATGTTCTTCAGCACAAAGTTGCACCCCTTTATCAGGCAGGTCATCACATCCTCCTTGTCCACTCTGGAAAGGAAGCGGCCCAGTTGCTCGGAGCAGTCCCAGCCCAGAGGGGACAAACCACGATGCCTTTGCTGCAAACGGAGCAAAGCAGTCCAGGTCCCTCCCACCCACGTCACACCCATAAATGCCACTGTGGCCTGCCTGCCTTCTCAGCCCCAGGCCCCTGCTTACTTCAGCTGTAGCTTCTCCTCAATGAGATCCTTGAACTTATAGGCTCCGCCACCTGTGGCCGGGATAACCTTGGTCTCAGTATTGACCAGGTGGTCTTTGATGAAGTCCAGGCAGGCCTCGATGTAGGTGTTCTCGAACTTAATGAAATGCAGACGAGCCGTGATCTCTTCTTGGACTGAGATCTCGTAGGGTGGCTCGTGGTCTTGCTCTGCATCCTGGAAAACCAGGTGGGAAGTCTGCACGGGTGGGAGGTAATGAGCCCGTGTGACCTTGAGCCCCCTGCCCCAGTGGCGCTGGCACTGATGTCAACAGGGCTGGGCGGAAGGGCAAGGGCAGCGTCCCTGCAAGGTTGAGGGGGAAACCGAGGGAGGACAGATAAGCTGCCGATACCCAACACTTCCAGCCGAGTGGATGTTTGCAAACAGCAGACGACAACATATGAAAAGTGACAGTGCCAAGTCCAAGGCCACAGGGGAGCGGCCGCCCACAGAGAGGCTCACCTTTCCAGAGTGGTCAAAGGACCTCACTTTGGCCACTTTGTGCTGCACTGTTGAATAGTAGGCCAGCTTGGTTAGTGATCCACCTACAGGGGAAGACACAAACCAAGCAAGACTCAGAACCGGACGAAGGAGACCTGGAGACCTGTCCTCCCAGGAGCTCTCTGGGGCCTTCAGTGCTTCTGCCATCGCCTCCTCTTTGAGGAGGGGAATCGCTGTGGACAGGACATTTGGTGCTGCCTGAACTTAAAATCCCTGCGGGCACAAAACAGAAGGGGAAAATGAACTATCAAACTGGAATTCGTTGCTCCTTAGAAATTCTACTCCCCATCAGATCTCTAGCCAACCCGAGAACAAGATTCCCCTGCCCACCTCAAGTCCTAAAGCAGAAAGGGAACCATCAGGTCTCTGCGTATATCTGGCTGCCACCAGTCGCTAGAGTAAACGCAGCTCAAGCTCTGATCCTGAGAGTGACCCAAAGAAATAAGGTGTTAGTAGGTCTCCATTAAAGGACACGCATAGTTGGCCATCTGTCCAGACGAGTAGGGCAGGCCGCACAAGGAGCATCTTCCCAGGTGCACAGGAGATGTGGGAGGTGCTCACCAACCAGCAGGGAGCAGGCAGCACTGGCTCCTGCCTTGGAGACACCCTGAGCCACCAGAGGTGGCCCTAGCCCCAGAATTATTAGTCTGAAAAGCCAGGCAGAGGCGCCACAGGCCAGTGTCTGCAGGAGCCCTGTGGCGCCCTGGAACGCTACACACAGCGGGGCACTGAGCTCCACGCCAGGGAGAAGCAGGCTCTGTTCACCAGACACTTCGGGGACAGCCACCGGGCGGTCTAGGAAAGGCTCTGTCAAGTACAAGTCCTGGCTGTCCTTCCAGACAGAGAAAGGGCACTTTTGAAGCTCTAGCTTTTGTGTTCACAGACTCAAAGGATCAGGATCAACAAATACAAGGAGAAACTCAAAGCCCAGCACTACACGATTGTGTTTCTACTGGTGCCGACAGCTGAGAGGCAAAATCTCCCACCTGACAGCAGCAAGGCTGAAGTTATTTTCAAATGGTTGCTTTATAGAAAACGAGGAAAGAACACGTGAGGGCGAACACTCAGGTTGGCGCACGGACTGGTAACACCCAAGTATCTGAAGGCTGACACTTTTGCATTCACCCACAATCAGCCGCCTTCTAGGATATTTACTGTGCCTGCCTTATTCCACAGCAACAGCCCCGCGGCCTTGCTTTGTCCATCTGAGGCCAGGCCCGCGCTTGGTTCAGTGGACGTTGTCATGGGTTTAATCTCATACCCTGGCCTGTGGTCCTAAGCCTCCTGATCCCTCCTCCCTGCCCGCCCCCCTCATCCAGCCCGGGCCTGAGTCTCATTAAAACGATTGCTCAGTTCACTTCTGTGAACAAACTGCTTTGTGAAAACAGACGGTGCAAAAGACGAAAGGGCTGCAAGGGACTCATCAGGTTACTGCTAGCAAATCCTCAGTCACAGAACCTGTATTCTTGGTGTTAGTTTTTTTTTTTTTTTTTTTT